CATTTATTTAATAGTTTACATTTATGAACTCAACACGCACAATTATTTATTTAAATTTTTTAAAAAAATTTTTAACTTTTTACATTTGTCACCTTCGTACGGTATAAATTAACTCTTCATTTTTATTCTCTTCTCACTTGAGAATGATGACATGGAGTCATTGAAATGTTGTGTGTTTTTCTCGCTAATATTCACCTGTTACCTAGTTAGTAATTCTCCCTACTAACTTCTACACATTTCCCTGTAAATCGGTGAAGAGAATTTCTTGTTATAACAAGATATGACTCCTTCCAGCAGATAAACTTGACTTTTCAGGGCTCGACACTAATGGTAGCCTTCTAGCCACAGACCAGTAAAAATTCAGTTTTGGACAGTGGTTTTCAGTTCCCACTAGTCAGTTTGGCTAGTAAAACAAACTGACATTGTTGTAGCATCTAAGATGTCACCAGCCACTTGGCTAGTGAGTTGAAAAGTTAGTGTCGAGCCCTGCTTTTTCTCATGACCCGTTTGCAAGATACGCGGTACATCTTGGAACAGCCAGAAGAAGTATCATGTTAATTACTTCTATTAGTTAAATGGTTAATTGATGAATGGAATGTTAGTTGTACATATATCTTATTAACCAAGCGCAAGGGCCATACTGGGAGAATATTGGCTCAAGGTCTTGACAGTATGGACCGAGCTGTGCTCGGTCCATACAAAAAAGACAGAGGGCCGATATTCTTTCAGTACGGTCCCGAGCAAGCTTGGTTAATAAGAGATTTATTATACGACTGAAGTTCAAAGGGACACAAGTGCAGTATCATTCAGGACCATTCGGGACAGTGCCCGGTCCAATACTGAGAGAATATTGACCGGCAATAGAGCATTTTGATTGGTTGATTTTAGTTATTGGCCCCTGACTACCTTAGTCGTGTAATAAATTTTTAATAATAGTAGGACCACTTTCAGTTGATAGATACTGAAAACTTTTTTTTTCAGGAATCCCTGTTACTGGAAGATGAAGGATTTATAGATTTTTTTAACAATTTCCTGGCATTACCAGTAAGTTTAGTAATTGTCTTGTATGTGTAACTTGTATATATGTTAAATTTATCAGGTTCTTTCTAAACATTTGTGGCATTTGTGGTCCATCTATATATAAATGAAAGCCTCAATAAGTGGTTTAACCATTTACATCCTGACATCAGTATATACACATTTCCTGTGGTAATAGGGACCTTAAGCAGTCAGGATGGCAATGCGAAGGAAGACTTTGCATAGATTAAAAAAAGGAATTTCTACTTTTGATTAAAATTTTGAAAATGGCAGCATGTGTTTACCATCTCATACAGCACCACAACTCAACCTCAACATAAGGTATAATAGTAGCGTTGAGTTCCAAATAGAAATTGAAATAATTTGCCATCGTGGTTTCAGTTAGCAGATGATGCAAATTTTGGTGATTTTGCGTTGTTGTTTTGCAAAGGACGGCTAAGAAATGTACTAAGTTTTAAAATGCACGCGCTGAGCTACTGTTCTGCCTATTAGATCTTTTGTTTATCCACGGCCTTGTTGGCGTCGCTGTCGTGGTTTGCTTAAGGTCCCTATTAACAAAGAGAATACGTCAAATAGCAAGGGCCTCTCTAGTTAGGAACCACTTCTTTGTTCTCATGACCTTAATTTTAAATCAGAGGTGATGCTATAAGGAGATATTAAATGGCAGTCACTCGATCAGAGGGAGTTGTTTTTGTATAAAATAAAGAGAAAATAGTTATTATGAACAATCAAAATTCCCAGACTGGTATTTTAGAAAATGATTTTAGTTCATACCACAAGATAGTTTCATTAACTCCTTCCTTTCTGAACGGTGTGGGTAATGTCCTGTTTCAAATGTTTTTTGTCAACAGGATATTGTATCTTTGAAATTCCAGTTGATCAGATAATTGAGTTTCCCAGGTATTGTAATTTTTCTTAAGGAATTTTTTTGTTTAATAGTGCTTTGCAGAGCGTCTCCACTACAACTCAGAACTTGAAGTTTTTGAGGAATTTATTGAAAAATTAGCTGATGATGTAGGTAAAGGAGATGCCAAGGCTGCATCACAGCTGCGTCAATTCACACATTGTGAAGGAACAATCTATAATGTGGCTGCCAATCAATCGCGTATTGGTTATTATGTGACTGTACTTGATAAGGTACAGGGCCTGGAATTTGTAAAGAAGCACAGACTGCATCTTTTCCTTAGAAGTGAGCTTTATGCTGAATACAAACTGACCAAACACCTTTCAGCTGTCCAGGTACAGTATGCACCCTGTACATACAATACAATACAATACAATATTCTTTTTTTTATTTAACAAAGGTGACGTAATTAACCCAATGAGTTATCTAACTGACGGCCTTCACAACAAACCCACCATCCCACCCCAGGGGAGGACATCCATCACACGGTAATCTCATGTGTGGGAAATGAACGTCTCCTACCCCAACCCTGCAGGAGAAGGGACCTCCATTTATTCGTCCCTATCCGAGAAGACTAGAACATCTAACCATTTCTTGATGTTATAGAAAGGTAGCAAATTCTTCTCAATTATTTTAGAATTAGCTTGCAAGCAGGCCCTTATTGGTACTGCTACATAAGAACCTCACGGGCTTCACTCTTAATCTGCTAGAGGTCTTGCATACATTAGTATGCATATTCTCCCTACTGTTCTCTCTACATTTCCAAAGATGCTGAAAAGGAGAATTATTTTTTGTGACTCAGGGGTGGTATTTTAAAGATGAATAAGGTGCTCGTTACTCATAGGAGCTAAAGGGTTAATTAACACGGATTACTGATCGGAAAACTTGAAAGATTAAGACTAAAATCTTCCAATTACACTAATTTCGACATAGCTCCAGTTAAGTTCTATTACAGTCTATTTGCACTGTGTGATTGTCCAGGGGAGGGGTAGTAAAAAAAAGATGACAGTGCCTGACATAAAAACTGAGCAGATGTCATCATCACTGACAAAAAAATACATTTTTGTCTATTGAAACTGATTGTTTATATATACCACGAGGTTCAAGTGGGGTCTGTCAGTTTCAATCCGTTGGTAACGTAAGGAACGTACAATAATATAGAAACTATCAGCCTTTATTCGAACGTACAATAACCTTGGGAATGCAAAGAGATTTCCAAAAGCACTTTGTCGATCCTGTTTCTCTTCGGCTACTCCATACATGAGCTTGAACAGACTTGTGGTGTAGCTACAGCTGTACGCCGTGAAACTACTATACAGCGTAGGTTGAGAAAAATTGTGATTTTCTCTAACAGGAGTCGTTCTTCCGCGAATTGCACTCAGAAAGTTCAGAGGATGATGATAGTGGAGTCGAAGAAGCCGCCAGTTTCCACCCCGCAAGTCGAAAACGGAGTGTTGTCAGTTTCAATTTAACTCCTTCCTTGGGCGAAGCGCCATCCCCCGATGCAGATAGGGACGCTGAAAATGAAGGAATTATGTACCTACCAACCAATGTGCGATCCATTGACGAGACCTTCGATGCCTGGCACGAGTCTTTTAAACGTACAGAGAGCCGTGCTAGTATGTTTAGCAGCGGAGAGGGGAGCTACCGTCTGCACACTCCTCAGATTATGGAAGAAGACGAATCTCTAGAGACACGATCAAGTTCGAGTTGTTTCAGCCCTAAGGAGAGCGAATCCTCTGCTTCAAACAACGCTAGGCCTGTTTCAGGATTGAGCATTGCTAGTGATAATACTGAGAAGGCGCTGAGTCCTGCGGAGCCTATCTCTAGGATCAGTTCGGCGAGTACTGTATCTATTTTCCTAGAAAATCAAAGTTCGTTTGTTTTAAACCAAGAAGAATCAAATGCTTGTGATCTAGATTCGGAAAAGAGTGGGAATCGTCCTGGCGTGGGTGAATTGACGCGCAGTTTGTCTTCAGCGCTGAGTTTTATAGCCGAGCATGGGAAAGTGACAGGGAACTCTTCTGTCCCAGGAGGCATCATTGGTGAACCAGATTTAGGGGAACAAGAAGACGCAACGGGGAAAGAAGATAGCAAAAGCAAAAAAGATTTCGTTGTCGAAGAAGTGGGTAGTGCAGAGCGAGAAAGCATTTCTTCAAGAGAAGAGACAGGAAGAGATAACATACCATCCAGGAATAAAGATTCTTTTGTAGGTTCCGAGCTAATTAAGGAGCACGAAAACTCATTTTCTAAGGAAAGTGTTGAGGAGAATCTTTCGAAGACTGAGAAAGAGGGGTATCCCATAGAATGCGCGTCTATAACTGTTGGTAGTGCGGTTGAAAATACTTTACTTGACTGTGCCCAGTCTAAAATGGATATTGGAAATTCTGATAGTGGTGTTGTTAAAGAGCCTTTGATAACAGATTTCGGGGTACAAATCAAAAGTGGTAATGAAGATACTACGGAAAGTCTGGATGGAGAACAAGTGCCAAGTATTAGTGTAGAAGTTACGTGCAGTAATGAAGAAGAAACTCTTGATAAGGAAACTGCTTTGAACGACGACGCGGTTGATTCAAATTCTGTAGCTGACTCCATCAGCGAAGAAAATTCTGGATCGGTCGCCGCGCGCGAGGAATTTTCTCAGAACACTGAAGATATTTCTGGCATAGAAGAAAAGACGTTTGTTTTGAATGCACCTGATTATTCTGGGCAAGTAGAGGAGAATTTAGGTGGAAAGGACGAAAAGAGAGATATTTCAGGAACAAAGAGAGACGGGGTGAAACCAACTGTTTCAGACGAGGATTGTCTTCATTGTAAAAATGCAAAACACAGGAATGTATCTCCAACTTTGGGCAAGGACGCCTCAGTTGGAGAACGTAGCACATCAAATAAGGAGGAGCCAAAGCAGGCGAACTTATCGGCTTTAGGTTCTGAACCTGGAGAGACAAGGTCAGTTGATGAGTTTAGTGAACAGAGAAGCGCTCAGAGTGAAAGTATAGCTGAAGAAAATTCGAACACAGGAATATCAACTTTATCAGAAGTGGTTGTGGACGTTGAGCATAACAATAAACAAAGTTCGTTTCAGAATCGTGAGAATGACGTTGGTGAGGACACAGAGATAGTGGGTGATGAAAACGAATCTAAAACACAAGATTTCCTAGGAGAAGAATCCTTTCCAGGAAAAGATTCTGATGAGGACGACAATGACTGCGAAGAAGACGACGGAGCAGGTTACACAACCGAGGCAAGCGCGACAACTCTTCAAGGAATCCAAGGCATCTTCGGGTCCAGACGACGTAGCAGTTTGGCGGCTACTTCGGTTGGTTTCGACGTTGGAGATGAATCGGCGTTCAGCGACTACGGTTCTGAGCTGGAGGACAAACCGTATGATTTGGCCACCAAAGAAGGTTTCGATATGTTCAGAGAGTTCCTTTTGGAGACCAGTGGGGAGAAGCTGTTGCAGTTTTGGTTGGAAGTCGAGTGTGGAAAATACTTGGAAAATGACGATGAAAGAAACAGGTATTTGTTTTGATGTTCCGGTTGTACAATGTGTTTGCTTCATGCGTGGGTGTGATATTTCAAAAAGCTTGCAAAAAAAAAAAAAAAAAAAATACAGAAAATGGAACAGACTAAAACGGAACAAACACGAAGGGCCGGTTATTTACACGAGGTCTAACCCAAGCCGCGGTTTTACGCAAGCAGTGAGCCTTACGTATTCTCTATAAAAGGTTTGTTTTCATGAAATAAATGTCCTTCAACTGCTAACATTCGCCCCTCTTGACACTGTTCACCAAAATAATGGTTCACATAAAACATTCAGGTAAATTCAAGATAATTTAGAACGCGGTTTTGTCAAACAGATGGCTAAACTTTGTCTAAATAACCGGCCCGTAGAATTTTCTGAAGAGACATCTACACTGAAAATATTATCATCATAAATTGAATTTTCAAAGTAGGTGGCTGTGCACAGAAAAATGTACCTTAGACAATCCCTCTCAAATTATTAGACAATCCTTCTCAAATTGTTTCCAAATATAATTCAGCTTGTAAGCGAAACACAAACTTCGAGCCAAGAAGAAAATTCTGATAGGCCACGAGAATTTGAAACCATGATCTAAATTGAATTACCAAAGTAGGTGGCTGTGCACAGAAAAATGTGCCTTAGACAATCCCTCTCAAATTATTTCCAAATATAATTCAGCTTGTAAGAGAAGCACAAACTTTGAGCCAAGAAGAAAATTATGATAGGCCATGAGAATCTGAAACCATGATCTTCCACAAAAACGCGTGTGACCAAGAAAATCACGATTACTTTTGGTTTTGCAACTAACTGGTTAACAAAATGGTGCGAGATTTCTAGACCAAACACAGAGCATTTAGTAAATTAGGGCACTTTTCAGCCGAAAGTAGAATAAACAAAAGCGAATTATTCGCAATCGTCAGCCAGGAGAAAATGAAGGAAGCAATGATGATTCAGATTGAAAACAAGCAAACTTCCCGAGCGCGGGAAAACGCGAATGATCTAGTTGCAATCATAACATAACAAAAGTAAAGCGCGCGCTCTGATTGGTCAATTCAGTGTCCACCATTTGCTCAGGTGAGTACGCTGCTGACGTGAGCAAATGCAAAGACTAGTTTTCGCTCGATTGTTTTTTCGGTCACGTAAATAACTCTTTGTAGGCTGCGGTGTTTACCATTTGTTAATTGGTTTTACTTTTTAATTTGTTTTGTGAAGAAAGTGCCGTGAGTTTTCTGTGTTGATGGCCCAGCGAAGTAAAGCAAAACCAAAGCAACCCCTGACTACTTCCTAAGCTTCATTGAATATTGAATTGCTTTAAAACCAATGCAATCCCATGATCCTTCGGACACCAGGTTGAAAACCTTCTCTGAATTCTTCTCTCCCTAGATTGGTACAGTCTCTGCGTGACAGGTTTTGGAAAAGTGGAGGAATTTACGAGTTCTCTGCAGGTACTAAATCAAGATTAAATTTGGTGGATGCATCGACATTGACTTTCGACAGGTTGTTTTTCATTCAACCCGACGTACTCAGACCACTGCTAAGTTACTGGTAAGTTCTTTTCTCTGGTTACAAACTTTCGGCCATAACTTAATCTTTAGGGGCAAACCAGACAGCAGAGACGTTAATGAGAACATGGCAAAACAAAAGATCTAATAGGCAGAACAATAGTTCAGCGCGTGCGTTTTAAATCTCCGAAATTTACATATCTGCAAACGGAAACCTCGACTGCAAATTATCTTTTTGCATCAAGTTTCTTTTTGGAACGCTGCGCACATGCGCTATGCTGAAGTTGAGGAGTGGTACAATAGACGATAAACAGTCGATTCGCGAAATTCTAACCAAAAAATTATATAAATTCACAGTCTTTTTAATCGACGTCTTTCTCGGCGTTACCGTCCAAACTGGGTAAGGGTCCCTATCATATTGGCAATAGCATATTGAAGGGCGCTTCCTGCTCCAATATGTTACCCTCGCAAAAAGTTTTCAGTCCTCAGCAATTTCTGTCTCGCCAAAACGTGATAAAAGTTTGTGATAAAAAACGACTGCAAAACGAATTTAAGATACCCTTAGCATACAAAGCACTCGAATGTTTTTATTTACTACTGTGTCGTCCCTACAGGTGTATACGTTTTAATATGCATCAGCAACGTGTTTCTCACTCTCACGACCAAGATTACAACAGAATGTTACAAGACAGGCTAAAATCATGTTTTGGACGTCAGATCGCATCATCAAACCTTCCGCAAGTCCCTGAGCACGTGGGTCTGTCCCAAGTTCTCTCGAGCAAAACTTTGGCCCGGCCCCAAAGTAGCTTTGTTAAGAACCGGCCTGTAACTCAGCACCAGACTTCTAGACCTCAAGTACGAGCCAAATCTGCCCATCCACGGCTTTTGCAAGCGAATAAGTATTGTCATACGAATGCAAGTACCACGCAATTACAGGTGGGTGACAAAGAAGAGAGTCTTTTGACAAGGAGAATTCTCGACAAAAATCCTTTCATATCTCTCCAATCACAGTGGCATGGGAAACTTATCTATGGAATCGTTGCACGGAAAAAGTTGATCTAAGGTAGTTATCATGCGGCTTATATCCCATTCGATTGACAATGTATGAGTATAACTCGACAAGTTTGATCCATTTAGTGAAATAGAACGAAGCAAAACTAAACCACAGATATCCTTTCACTTTATCAGTCGGGTCAAGCAGCTTCTAACAAGTACTCTGCTGCGTGACAACTTTTGAAGTACGATAACTACTGTCAACCCTTCCAAGATCTTATTAGTAATTATTAGTAATTTTTATTAATTCTCCTCGCTGTCTGCCATACAATTCTTATGATGATGGTTCGGAGAAGTTGGTATTGGATCAACTAATAATCCCCCAACTGTTGTTTTTCGTTATTCTCAGCACTTGTCTGCTTGATCATATTGCATTGATATTGTTAGAAGAAATTTTGAAATTCTGTCTTAGTCACTCACGCATTTAAAGGGTTAAATAGCTGTCGACATGAGTCAGTAAGCGTAAAGGGAAAAAGAACAAAGCAGACTACTACCGGGGAACAAATCAGAACTCAAAGTAGAAACAAGCAAAGTGCCTGAAGCGCGGGAAAACGCGGGTGAAAATGCGCGGGAAAACGCGAGTAAAAATGCGCGGGAAAACGCGAGTAAAAATGCGCGGGAAAACGCGACTAACCAAGTCTGGATTGGGGTTGGTTTTGCATCTGATTAGTTGTGAGGGCTGCCTGACTTTTAACAATGAAATCCCAGATTATTTTGGTCACTCTGTAAGAAAATTGTTCTTTGATCAAATTTGTTTGTTGTTTTCAGAATATTATTGCTCCTGTGAGGACAGGATACGGGTTTGAGCAACCCCCAGGACCGTCCTTTCCTGTTGAACCTGAACCAGACTATGCATCCTCCGTCAGGCTCTTTATCAACCCCGTGCCCTCCCCAGATAGTAAAATTCAGAGAATGATGAGGTACATAATACCCTCGATATGCGACTTATATTTTCAAAACTGAGTCGTTACTTCTTTGACTCTTATTTTTATCTTTGCTTCTGTTATCTTTATGAAGGACGCTCCACCGAACTTCTAGTTATGTTGAGAGTTCTAAGCCGGCTCTCGTCAGAGAGACTGGGTCCAAGACCGCTGCTATGATGGATTCCTTGATACAGGGACTGATTTACGAACGGCAGACTGGGGACTACTTCAAATTGTTTTTGCAGAAATCAGGAAACGAGGTATTTAGAAGACTAATTAGTTAGAGAGCTACTCTTGCACTTGCTTGATGAATAGCAAACCCACTCAAACCTTCGCGGTTGGCAACTCAACTTCCACCTCCTTCTTTGAAGACTTCTTAAGCCTAGGCTCGGTCCATACCGCCTAATAAATACTAAAGGACTCTTTTTAGCACAAACGATTTCGTATGCCTGCCGTTCAGACTCATTCGGATAAATGTCACCTTCGAACGGAACTTGCGGAAAATTCTTTTCCACGTTTAAACTTCGAAAACGCCTGCTTTGGTGGCCCATTTACGAGATTTATGAATTTGACTAGGTGGGCTTGAATAAATAGAGTATCACCCACAATGTATGACCCAATTGCGAGCGAATGTGAGCGATTTCAGGTCCCATTCACTGTTCAAAGGACAAATCTGAAAATTGAAAACACGCCTCTCAATATTATCCAGCGCACCATGGACTGGTCCAATTTTGGGTCGCTCAGATACGTTTTCCAACAGGGACTGAGCTTTTATTGTTGTTTCCTTAGTCAGTGTCCGTATCAATCAGTGAAAGAGTTCACTTATTTTTCTTGGTTAAGAACCAAACTCAAACTCCGATTATGTAATTATATTTGTTATGTGAATGCTTAAGTTACATGATAGTCGAGTTTGATGTTCAATTGTTCTCTTGTAGACCTGGATGAACTGCTTGGCCTTTTGGAAGTCTCTTCAAGAGTACAACGCGTACTTTTTTGCCCATTCTCTCAATCCTTCCCTGTTGACAAGGAAGGCACGGGTATGGGCTAAGTTAGGATTAGAGAAGAACGTAATAACATAAATAAATCACGGAGAATGTTAAACGATTTGTAGCAATTGGAGAGCCTTAAAATGAAACAGAATAGACTTCTGGAGCAATAAGAACATCTGTTGGTTTAGGAACCCCAGCTGATGGAGAAGCTTACAAAGAATGTCATAAAACGTGTGGTGGGACGCGGTTCTGCCACACCAATAGTATTGTCACTCTCCGTGCATAGGATAGTAGTCAATCGCATGCTAGCCCCAACCTCCCTTCCCCTTCACCTTTCAGCTGCATTCTGTGATCCCGGGTGAGAGGGGTTTTGTGAGAGAAAACTGTCTTGCCAAAGAACACACCTCATTACCTCGGCAACAACTTCAACTCTGACTTTTCGAGACTCTTAGGTCACTTTGTCTTCCACAGTTGTTAAGAGTATAAGTGTTAGAGTATGCTAAATTTAGAGATAATCTTATCGGTTACATTGATCTTTCACAATCGACAGACAATGTACGCCAATTTCATCGTATCAGGCAGCGCACAAGATGTTCAAGTGCACAGGGACATCCAGGTGCAGGTACATAAGGAACTGGAGCCACCGTATGAGGAGCTTTTCGACGCAGTCGAGGAGCATGTTCTGCATTCACTTTTGGAACCCTGGCAGATGCATATAGACCAAGAAAAAAGCCTGTTCAATGCAGAGGTAAGGTTAAAAACTTTGATTACTGTGTTAATTCGTTGCATTTCTTGTTGCTCTTATTTCTCTCAGCGTTACGACGCGCCATTCTTCTTAGCTCACTACCTCTAAACTAAACTAATTTCGTGATCCTTCCGTACGGTTCTCCAAAACACTCTACTACTGAACTATAACACTATACAATGACTATTAATTGCGGACAAGATTAATCGACAAAGAGTGTCACCAGGTCGCATACGTTATGCGACAACGGCAAAAGTAATTGTCTTTGGTAGAAGTTCTTGAACACCTTCCCTCACGGTTTTTGTAATCAAAGTCTTTCCAACATCCTCCTCTGACCTAAACAGACGTACCCACGCCTCTACAAGTCACCAGCTCTCTAAGCACCTGCCACTCAATCATCCATTCACTAGCAAGATCTGTGGCGTAATGGTTAGTACGCTGGACTCAGGAGCGAGAGGTCTGGGTTCGAGAGAGAGACCTATCCAGATCATAGTGTCTCTCTCCACCCAGTAGTATAAATGGTTATTGGCAAATAGGCCATCTTGCAGTTGTGTACTCAGTTGCCAATCCTTTGATTTGGAGTCAGGCTGAAGGTGACCTTGTTGCGATAGAGACTAATATGTTGTGAGCTTGATTACAAAGTAATTTACATTTTTAAAACAGCAATGTCTGTATCATAACAAGGTCACCCTTAGCCTCACTCCTGTTCAAAGGCTTGGCAACCAAGCGTGCAGGTGTAAAATGGACTATTGTCAGGAAAGCTTGACGAAATGCAGGGGGGTAACCTTCCGATGGACTAACATCCCATCCAGGGAGAAGTAGTAATAATATCGCTTCATGTTAACGAAACCGAGATGAGCTCCGGGTGAGGGGCCTACAGACTTACAGCACAGACTTACTCTCAAGATCTTGCGCTGATAAAGAGTTAACCAATTTTTTTGTACATATAACTAGGTATCCACACAACAGACCTTGAGGCATATTGAAATTCAAGTCGTGGCTAAACGAAGACAGAGCATTACTTCAACTCGTGGGGGGGTAAGAACTGGTCAATTTATTGCACACAGAGTTATGCTCTTCTTGGTGGTTTTCCGCGTGACTTATTTGTAAGATTTTCATTTATGTGTTTATCTCTATGCTTACTTATTTACCACTTTATTATTTTATTTACCCCATATATATATATTGCATACAATCATCAGTTGCACACTTGTTATTTTGAAGCTCGATGCGGCCGAAGAGGACCACGAAAAAGAACGAATTTCAGTAGAAGAAGCCAACAGACCTTTCCCTGTTCCAAAGGACGGAATCACGTTTGAATCAGTTATAAAAGACAGAGAAGAAGTGGAACACTTCAAAGAATTCCTGAACAAGAAACATAACAGAGGTGAGGGCAAGGGTCTGGAAGAGGAGGGTTGGGAAGAGATTCCTTTCAAAGCAGACAAAGTGCTGGTCGGAAATTTGAAATGAGGAACTTAGATCGAAGTTCTCCTTACAATATCAATACAATGATGAGAGTACTGTGAAATATCAACAAGGGGATTATTAGTTGATTCAATACCAAATTCTCCGAACTTACATTCGCTCCGACGAAGGGCTAACGCTCGAAACGTCAGCTTTTGTAATCGTTACGGTGGCCAATTTACCATTTCAACTTTGTTGATATATCCAAATAACATCATAAAAATTGTATGGCAGACAGTTAGTTAGACCTACTGTCCTAAAAAACCCAAGTGAGGCTAATATCTGTTATTTGCTCCCCTTCGCGAGACGATAAGCATCTGCGGAGGGCGAGGGGGACCTGGAAACTGATTTCTCCAAATCTCTTCTTGAGTCTTGTCAAGAACATCTTGAACCGAGTGTCTCCTACGTTTTTTGTGTCTGACGCTCGGAATGACGCTATCCTGTGTTCTTAAGGTATCAAAGATCTCATGGCTTGGACAGACATGGAAACTTTTCGCCGCGTTCCCCGATTCATGGAAGAGAAACGCGACCAGAAAGCCAGAGAGATTCGTGACAACTGGCTCGGTAAAAAGTACTTCTTTGGAACTGACAGCCCTGCTACAAGAAATGGTCAAAACTTGGTAGGGTAAATGGTTCATGTTGTTATTGTTCTCGCTTATTGCCTCGTGCTTATCAAAGATTTCATGGCTCCCTCCTCCCTTGTTTCCGATTTCTTCCCTTCCATAGATTTTTAATTTCATTCTAGTTAGACATGATTCACTTCTCGCGAAAACTGTCGTTCGTATGTCATTTCGCTTTTGTCAGCGGTTACACTGCGCATGCGTTTGGTTGCATTAATTCCGTCCATATATCTGTTCACTTGCATCCTGCACTTGTCACTGGTTCGGGTTTTCTGTTGCATATTTTGCCTCCTACTGTATCTCGCATCAATTCTATTGTTGCGGTTGTGGTTCCCCCATGGATATCAGTTTGTTAAGAATGACGACAGACTTACAGCCATTTTGTTTTCATTCCACGGCTTTCAATCAGCTTCCCAATCTAAGCAGCTGTTGTTTTCTAACTTTTTTCGCTTTTGATATTCTTTCGTTTGCAGATAATGAACTTAAACGGGGGGCGCCCGATAAAGGAACGACCGCAGTCGCCAGTTATACTCGAAAGCCAGAAGTTTGTTCGTGCGCGAATTGAGCGCCGATGGTTGATGTTATTCAAACAAACGGCCGAATTTCTAGAAAGGCAAAAACCTCGCACAGTTAGCGTGCCTGAGATGGTAGAGGACATCATGTTGAAGAGGCGACTGCAAAGAAGTGAAGCCGCTTGGAAGGTAAACATTGTTTAGAGCAATTGTTAATTGAGTGTCGAAAAGAAAGCGGGATTGCGTGGGTTTTGCTCTGTATCACATCCGTTGATTAGTCTAGAAAATTGGCGCCAATCTCTCAACCAATCAAATGAAAATTTGTAATCAATCTGAACTTGGTCACCTGCGTTTTCCCGCGCTTTTGGTTGTTTGCTTTTTACATTTTATTTTTACTTTGAGTTCTCATTGGCTCCCTGTGATATTTTCCTCTCTTCTTGTTAGCTGCTGCGATTACTTTGGTTTTGGTTTTACGACAGTCAATTGAAAAGCGCTCATTCGCTTGGGTTGGGTTACTTGAGTAAACTATACAAGTGTTATTGACGCTCCTCTTGAAATGATCCTTTTTCTGGTTGGCCGACGTTCAACCAAACTGCGCTCCACATGAGGTTAATTTCGTTTTTGTCTCTCCAATTAAGATTTTAAACAGCAGGTGGGTATCTTCGTCACGTGACGTGGTGGCTTTACGTCAGACGCTACTCAATCCCAGTCACGCTGCCGAATTCACGGCTTTTGTCGCAATGAAGGGCGACACGCTGGAAAGTAATGTTCAATTTTGGCTCGAAGTTCAGAAATTCAAGGTAAGATTGGCACTTTTGTAGTAAACTTTTTAAATTGCCGATGGATTGAAATAGATATTTACTGGTTTACACTAGATACAAAGAATCTTACACTAGATACAGAATCAAAGTCGTGAGAGCGCTTACGAATTACTGTTTAGCTCCCAGAGGTGATTAACATGTAACTTCTCCCCATAGTATCCAAATTTTTCAAGTTATCTTGATCTAAGACCAAATTCTTGTAACTTATTTACGAGGAAATATGTAACAACTGGAGGGGAGAATTTACAATCAGATCTTGGCAGTTCAAAGATTACATGCAGTAATAGCCACGACGAATCTGAGTTGCGAAAATCAGTTTGCATTTTGGCTGATTCCTGCTGCTAACCGATTATGACTTCAGTGAAAACTAGTTCCGTAAAGTTGTGAGCGGAAGATGATAAATGAAGAGGACGATGTTTTATCAATGGGAAATTTTTCCATATTGATGGCTCTAAAGATCTCAAATGTTAGATCTTAAGCCATGATGCCATACCTGGTATCAGAAGGTGATTTTTATTTGATTTTCGCATTCTGCCTTTCTAATTGCTTTTCTGACTCCGACTCTGTCCATTGTGAAAATCTGAAGCGCTGGTTTGCCTTTTTTTGGGTGTGTGTCTGGAATATTCAACCAAAAGAGAGAGTGTTTAATTTATCCAGTTATGCAAACGCACCAACAACGCTGGTTAACACTTTTTTAAATTTAAAAATTCTGTCTTACTATACCCGGTTCCTCAAATACAAACCTTTTCCCATGGCGCTGCTTATTGTCACGCTGATGTAGGCTCCTTTTGCATTGCGTGACTTATCGTCACTCGTCTATGTTTTCTCAACAGGATTTATGTCACGCGCATGCTCAACAGGCCTTAATCCAACGCAAAATTCAAACCATTGTAGACTGTTTTCTGAACTCGGCTATTGCTCCTGAGCTGCAGATCGATATTCCCATTGAGATGGCAGAGAAGCTGATGGAAAGGCTTTCGGGGAGGAATCATTCAATTCATCCTTATGTCTTCAGAGAAGCACAGGTAAAGAAATTGAAGAAGGACAACACTCCAAGAGTGTCGACCTGAATCCTGGCTTTTTATAGTTTTTACATCTCGCTCTTTGATTGGTGTTTAAAACTCAAAAAGTTCGAACTAAAAAAACTAACTTTTTTGTCTTGAGCTCTGAACCAGAACGAAAGAAGAATGCTAAATACGAGACCACTTTGCCTCCCACCTCAGACGTATGCCGTGCAAAATTTAACCCTATAACTCACGGGATCTGACTGTTAACTCTCCCCTCTAGCTGCTCCACCTTTCCTTGTAAATTATTAAAGAGGATTTGGTGTTGGACTACTCGATAAGTTTGAGTATTCTCGTTACCTATTTCTCTTCAGATGACGGTTTTTCGAGTTCTTTTTAACCACTGGAAAGAGTTCATAACTCACCGGAGTAAAATACCAGAGGGCGAAGATCCAAGGGAACACTTTGCTGAAATGTTGAGGAGACATAGGACTGACACCAAGTCCAAGAAGGACGCCAGTGAACGGAGGAGACTGGCGCGACTCAGTGCTGAAAGAAAAAAGAAAGAAAAGGAGGAGCGAGAAAAGAAGCGCATTGAAGATCTGTCAAGGTGAGTACAAAAGAAAGGTTGGTGGTGACGACATGAAGCATCAGTTGGGTTCCCTCATTGAAATTTGAGAACCAGGGGAGGATTTAAGAATGGTTTATAGCAAGAGGTCCATAATTACAATCGAATCTGTGTTAAGTGGCACCGAATTAAGCAGTCGCCCTGTGTTAAGTGGTCGGTTTTCAAAGTCCAAAAAAATTTTCCCTCAGGCTAATTACTGTAATTTTTTACCTCTATCAAGCGGTCGTGGTTACCCAGTCCCAAAGGCCTGTGGGTATTGTCTTCCAGCTGGATTGAAGCGGAAACACTCAAATTAAACCAAGAGTTATCTTACAAGCCAAATTTAATCCCTGTTTATCTCCCGAAATCAAAGTTATCAGTATTGTTAAGCGAGTTTGTGTACATCAAGTGGTCAGTTATGACAGAAAATGGCGTTTTTTATCTTATTTCGCAATACTTCTATTCTGTGGAACCTTTTCAACCTGTATTTAGCGGTCACAGGTTTGAGTGTACTTCTTGGCAAGCCACTTTCATGGTTGAACAGAAAGATCAGTGAGAGGTGGTAATATGCGATCTTGCCGTGGAAAAAAGTTTGGTGTCAGACTCACCGGTATGATATAAGTGGGTGGGGTCCAAACCCTCGACCCATCCCCCGGATCCGCAGCTGAGAACGCAGTCATGTTCTGAGCACAGCGTAAAACTTAGAAAATGAAACAACTAGCTCCTCTTGTGGGCAGATGAGATAAGGTCAGTTAGACGTATGAATGGCTTATCAGTGCAATTGTGTCCACAGTTTGTTTAGTACGGATACAGCCACCTATTTTTACACGGAAGAGGATGATCTACGCTCTTGGTGTTACTCCAAGCACTTAGTGGAACAGGAGAGGCAGGAACACAACAAGCGGCTTAGAGAACAAGGAATTATTGTCCCGGAGGAAGAACTCGTGGAAGAAAAAGGTGACTCCTTTTTCCTTTGATATAACTCGTTTTCATGCTTTTCGTTTAGACGAAAAACAAGGATGCTGTGCATGCTCATGTGTTCAATAATTTTGATCTAGCTTCTTGAAACAAATGTTGAGGTAAAAGGTGGACATCTGATGTTACGATCATGTATTCCAGGGTCCGAAATTGCGAGTGACTGGTCGCCAATGCGACCAAAAATTAGGTGTTGGCGACCAGAATTTTAGAACTGGTCGCCAGTAGGCGACAAACCTTTTTTCCCCTTGGCATTTGAAATTCCAAGGTAAAAGGGCTTTTTTTAAAAGAAAACTTAAAGCTCCCGTGGATAATTGTAGTAAAACGAAGCAACGATTTTACGATCGCCATAAGACCTGGCGCCATATTGTTTCAGCGGCTTCTCCCAATACGGATATCGCGGACGAAAACGTGACGTGGCGAAATCGTGACGAGATCGAAAGCGTCGGCGGAATCACATGCGCTTAGTCTTTAATACTTTACTTAAATACCTGTAAATTCCAGTTCTGAAATACGAGCTGTGGTGTTGTCTTACGAGTACTACATGTGAGAAAGATGGCTATCAGCTCTTTGCGATCATTTCGTGATTTGCTGCTCTCAGAAGACGAAACATCCGCTCTGAAATGTTTCAGCGATTTAGATAAATTTTCAATTGTATTTTAGCCAGTACAAAAAGAACAAAAGTGTCTCTATTATCTCAATATCTTTTATCGTGGCCATCGAGGTTGGCCATCGACTTAGGTGGGGACCGGTTCGAGCAATAAGAGTGTGAGGGCCTGGCACTAGCACATTGATCGTCGTTGCGTTTTCTTTCCGTTTCGGCGAAGCACTCTTAGTTGAATCTAGGTATAGAAAGAGGGCCCCCATATGTC